TCTTCACCAGTCTGAGCTTTATGGGAGAGACTGAGCATACATCAACTTTTACCAGAGTTCTTCACCACTCTGAGCTTTATGGGAGAGAGGCAAAGAGAAAGACTGTTGAAGAAAAATTCAAAATAATTGGGTTAAATAAAAATACTACTCCACTTGTCTTTTTGAGACCGAGGCCACCTGTCTCTTTAAGGCAGGAGGTCTAGAGGTGAGTCCACCAGTCTCTCAGCTGGTGGAGCAGAAACAAGCCACCTTCAGTCGTCCATCTGAGATGATTTTCTGTGTTTACAATCAAAGAAAGCTCCATGTTTGTCCAGATCTGATAAATTCCTGTCTGTCCTTCCTGCAGTCAGAAGGTCAGTCTGAAGGAGAGGGTCTTCTCATCTCCACGAAGTTCAGGAACCAAAGGGAAAGGTTCTCCTCAGCATGGTAGGTGTCAGGACCACAGTAAATTCTGTTGTCGTTTCTGCTTTACAACTAAAGCCGAGATAAATAGGAGCAGATTTCAGATCAGGTCCATCTGGTAGATTCTGAATTTATCTGAAGAAGCATTAAGACAGTAGATGTGCACATTTTTCTGACATGTTTGGTTCTGTTGATTTGAGTGAGCACCCAGACGTCAGGATCTGACTTGGTTTTTTTTTTTTATCTGAGAACCAGTTCACTGCAGATTTGTGTCCCTCAGAGAACGAAACCAAAGCATCAACCAGTCATTCAGGTGAGGACAACAAACCAGAAACTGAGTCTTGTTCATTCTTCATATATGGCTCCTCCAGTTGGAGTCACTCCTGGAATAGGTGTTGGTCCTGGAGTTCCTGGAATCCCAGGTGGAGTCCAGGCCTTGCGGAGATCTCCCAGCATGGAACCCAATCTAGAGGAGAGTCCAAGCAAGGTTCCAAAGAGTTGGAGTTTTGGAGAACGCAGCCGAACCAGGCAGGCTTTCAGGATCCGGGGAGCAGCATCTCGTCAGAATTCTGAAGGTATTTGAAAAAACGATTCACCAACAATCGGGTGTAGATTTCATCAAATTTAATAACACTGTCAGAGAAAAATATTCTCGCTTATCTCACTTACTCATAAAGTACCACACTCGACGGCAGGAGAATATTTTTATCTGGTATTGACTTGTAAGGTCAGATTTTCAGGACAGGTTCCATAAATAAATTGTTCATTTTTAATTAGCTCAGCTACAAAAGTAGATGATGATGAGAAGGTTGTCAGGAGATCATCCACTAATGTAGGTTTCCTCTCTCCTCTTCTTCCTGTAGTGCTGATAGAGATGCAGGATGAAGAGTTCAGACAGAAGAACTACCCAGGTCAGCACGTGGACACACATGCACACACTGGGAGAATGGCTCAGCTGGTTTACGTCTCTGGACTTCCTGTCATATGACACGAGTGTTTCAGGTGAGGGGGTGGGTCTAAACGTTTTGCTATGGTTTCAGAAGCGAGCCTACCAGGTGAAGACATGGTTGACGACAACAAGAGCTGCCACTGTGAGTTCGTCCCTCAGGATTTGACACCAGGGTTAAAGGTCACCATCAGAGCCATCTGGTACGACCTGTCTGTCAAAATTCACCTACTTCACCTGCTAACCATCCATCGCTTTACTCACTCTTTATTTGCTGTTTATAATGCACTGATTCTTATTTTGTTCACACTATTTTTATTTACTTATTTTTTTATTTATGCTCACCTCAGGGTCAAAGGTCATCATCAGCTGTTGGGTAAGAGCAGTCAGTCTGACATCCCTTAGCTTCATTTTTTTTCTATTGTTTCACTGTGTTCTGTCATGTTTTCCTGAAGGAAGAAAATAAGTCAATTTGATTCATACAGTGCCTTTCAACATAAAAGTCACAAGATGCTTTGCTCTAAAAAGTTACAATTAAAGCATAACATCAAATATAAATAAAAAATAAACGTAATGCTACCCAACTGTCAGTCTAAAAAGACAAGTCTTCAGACATTCCCTGAATAAATCCATTGAGTCCACAAAACTTTGATAAAATTAAAGAGCTCCAGAGAGTTAGATGACAAAGACACTGTCTCCTTCAGTCTTCAGCCTTAATGTAGGGGCAGGAAACAGTCTTTGGACCTCAGGGTCCTGGCTGCAACATTAGTGGATCTCATGGTCCTAATGGTGATATCAGTGGATCTCAGGGTCCTAATTGTAACATAAGCAGACCTCAGGCTCCTGATGGTGAAATCAGTGGACCTCAGGGTCCTGATGGCGACATCAATGGACCTCAGGGTCCTAGTGGCAACATCAGTGGATTTCAGGGTCTTGATGGCGACATCAGTGGAACTCAGGGTCCTAGTGGTGACATCAGTGGATCTCAGGGTCCTGATGGCAACATCAGTGGATCTCAGTGTCTTGATGGTAACATCAATGGGTCTCAGGGTCCTAGTGGCGACATCAGTGGACCTCAGGGTCCTAGTGACGACATCAGTGGACCTCAGGGTCCTAGTGGTGACATCAGCAGACCTCAGGGTCCTGATAGCAACATCAGTGGAACTCAGGGTCCTAGTGGTGACATCAGTGGACCTCAGGGTCCTAGTGGCAACATCAGTGGAACTCAGGGTCCTAGTGGTGACATCAGTGGAACTCAGTGTCCTGATGGCAACATCAGTGGATCTCAGTGTCTTGATGGCAACATCAGTGGATCTCAGGGTCCTAGTGGTGACATCAGTGGACCTCAGGGTCCTAGTGGTGACATCAGTGGATCTCAGGGTCCTAGTGGCAACATCAGTGGAACTCAGGGTCCTGATGGCAACATCAGTGGATCTCATTGTCTTGATGGCAACATCAGTGGATCTCAGGGTCCTAGTGGTGACGCCGGTGGACCTCAGGGTCCTAGTGGCGACATCAGTGGATCTCAGGATCCTAGTGGTGACATCAGTGGATCTCAGGGTCTTGATGGCGACATCAGTGGATCTCAGGGTCTTGATGGTGACATCAGTGGATCTCAGGGTCCTAGTGGTGACATCAATGGACCTCAGGTTACTGACATACATTATAAAAGTTCAGAAGTTGCACCAAGGTAGAGTTGCACTTGGGTCCAATTAATCCAAACCAACCTGGCCCCAGCCTGCAGCCATCATCTCCAAACCCCACCCGATCTAACGAATTAACAGTAATTACAGGTCCGAACCTGAACACCCACCCCCCCTACATTTTTAATTAAGCTTTGACTGCTTATGCCACTGACTATTATTTTTGGTGGACGTGCGTGGCTGACAGGGCAGAAGATCAGAGCTGAGGAGCCCTCAAAGTGCATGAAACACTTCCTCTGCTTCTGCCTACATTGGACCCTGCTCTGACATGTCGGATATTTTGTGATCTCACCTGTTTGGGTCGTCGGCTACACGCGTCCGCTGAGTGCAGCGGCTGAATGAATGTCCATTTGGGTTGATGGATTGCTGGCTGTAGTCCAGCTGAAGCTTAACTGAACTTTTTACCTCTTTTAACTGGCCGGTCTGCGTTCGGTCAAATGGCCGCATGCAGCAGGTGTAGTATGGCAAGCCATGTTTGCATATATTGGATCATCGGCCACATGTGACACCGACCCAGCCCACACATTAAAGACATTATTATGGCCCAGTCCGGTCCAAATCTGGGTCAGGCAGGCCCAGGCTCTGGGTTCGGGTTAGAAATGACAGCTCTAATTCTGAACATCAATGACTCCAGTCTGAACTGACACCATTGTTTGATGTTCTGGACCTGGATCATTTCTGTAGTTTAGTTCAATTCCTAATCTTGGATCACTCACCAGAATGACAAGGTGGGTTAGGATGAAGGAAAAACCATGCTGTTCGTCATTGAACTGTCATCATAAAGATAAAGGTCATTCACAACTTCCTCCACTCCTTCCTCCTCAGGGTCAGATCTCCTTTATGGGTCTATGAGGCCCGGTTCAGATGCTCTTCATCTAGTTTTGTCAGTCTGTACCTAGTTGGACCTCAGATGTGAACCGAAGTGGAGAAACAGTTCTTGCTTTCAGACAGTATACTCTGCAGCTAGATGCGGTCCTCTGAGACTGGCCCGCATTAAACACACCCACACTGACAGTTACCCAAGTCCACCAGAGTCAAACTGTGTCCACTGACCTCTTGCTATGTTTTCTTCTTCAGCATCATGCGCTTCATGGTTTCTAAGAGGAAGTTTAAGGAGAGTCTTCGTCCCTACGACGTGATGGATGTGATTGAGCAGTACTCAGCTGGTCACCTGGACATGCTGGCCCGCATTAAGAACCTGCAGGCCAGGTGATACATCTGACCCTAGTGACATTTGTTACTTTGATTCCTGTCCTCTGACCATGATGTCTCATCTTGACTGACAGGGTGGATCAGATTGTTGGCAGAGGAACGCCAATTGCAGACAAGGACCGTCCTAAAACAGCCAATGAGGAGCTACCTGAGGATCCGAGCATGATGGGACGCCTAGGGAAGGTGGAGAAACAGGTAACCTAAAAGTCCGAGTCAAACAAATTCTGGCTCTTCTTAAGTCCTAAATCATAGCTGTTCACTGCTGGTCTCGTGCCCTTTAGGTCCTGTCCATGGAGAGGAAGCTGGACTTTCTGGTTAACATCTACATCCAACGAATGGGAATTCCTCAGGCTGAGACTGATGCCTACTTTGGATCCAAAGAACCAGACCCGGCCCCACCATATCACAGTCCTGTGGATCAACTAGAGAAGAGCCAGTCTATCTCCAAAATCCTGCAGTAAGTGTCTTGTGTTCCATGGAAGCCAAAGAACAAGAACCCTAAATTACAAACCAAACAGAACCAGGAGCAGGAGAGAGGATCACAGGGACCAACCAGGTTCTTACCCAGATCTGTCCCTGTACAAAAGGCAGCCATCTTTAAAGAGAACCAGAACCTGTTGGTAAAAAGTTACTTGCTGTTAACTTGTTGACCTGTATTGTTTACATGCAGAGTGTTGCCTGGTGACCACATGGAGAGGACTCGGTTTGTCACTAAGATGGTTCGCTCAAGCAGTTCAACTGGACACCGGAACTATACGGCTCCCACTTGCCCACCCTCAACATCCTGGCAGCCCATCAGCTCCCAGCTTCATCAGCAGGCCCCTCCTCCTCAGCGGAGCCACGGTAACACGCCCAGCCCAGTGGGGGATGCGTCATTGGTTCGACTGCCTCCCCCTCCTGCTGGAGAGAGACATGGTGGGAACCGATCGAATCGACACAGTACTGGAGACCGAGGGGGGTCTGAAAGACTGGAGCCAGGTGGAGAGCGTGCCAACGGGACCGGAGCTGGGCGTGAGGTGAAGCCTGACAGCGACACCTCCGTCTCCATCCCATCAGTGGACCACGAGGAGCTGGAGCGCTCCTTCAGTGGCTTCTCCATCTCACAGTCCAGAGAGAACCTGGACTTCCTGAACAATGGATTATACTCTTCTGCCGGTCTGGGGGAACAGCAGGGAGGGGGAAGCTCGGCCTGCTGCAACACCGTCCGACCCTACATTGCAGAGGGGGAGTCAGATTCTGAATCTGAGCTCTGTGCCCCCTCACCACACTCAGACCGGGCCTGGACCAGTACGAAATGAAAAAAGATAACCCTAAACCAGCAAAACTGTTTAGATCAGATTCGTTGAACTTTAAACACCAGCTAGAGGGTCAAAGAGAAGCATTCTGGGAGCTGATGACATCATATTTGTACAATCACATGCTCGCACCTGATTGGTTCACCACAGTGTCAGTGTTCTGAATTTGGTACGGTCCACAAGGGAGTGCCACAGGGGTCAGTCCTTGGTCCCCTCTTATTCATTATCTACATGAATTATCTGGGTCTGAATTTCTCAGATGACAATCACATCTTTATGCTGATGGCACAATTATTTACTGTTGCACATCAACTCTTGCTCAGGCAATTGATTATTTGCAGAAAGCTTTTGACGTTATACAGAACTCATTTTTACAGCTGAAGCTTGTTCTTAATTCAATTCAATTTATTTATATAGTACCAAGTCACAACAGAAGTTGTCTCAGGGCACTGTACAAAAACATTCACATAGATAAAATAGCCAATTAGTAAAAGTTAATGCATACAAGACTAAACGTATGCTGTTTTCTAAATCCAAAAATCAATTGCAAACAACCCACTCAGTGACCAGAAGTGGTTCATGAGTATAAATACCATGGTGGCTTAATTGATAACACCCTCACTTTTAACCCCCATGTACAGAAATTTGTTTGGAAGCCGAGGTTAAAGCTGGGTTTTTATTTTCAAAATAAAGTTAGTTTTTCTTTCAGTGTAAAAACAGCTTGTAGCTGCAACATTTTTCACTGTATTGAATTATGGAAATCTTTTCTATATGAATGCCACTGCTCACTATCCTATGACTGATGCTCTCTGGTTCATCACCAACTGCCTGCCTCTCCCTCTTTTGGAAATAAGTGTTGACTACAGCCATTTCGTTTTCTCTTGGCAAAACCCACCACCAACTGTCCTTCCTAGTTTCTTTCCTTGACACCAAACCTACCCATCACTTCCTCATCCCGTTTTCTTCACCAACATGTCCATTCAGGTTCTCCGATCACCACTCTCTCCTCCTGGGAATACTCTCAATCACTTCATCCACATCCTTCCAAAATTTATCTTTCTCCTCCACATTACATCCAACCTGTGGAGCATAACCATTGACAACATTTAGCATCAGACCTTCAGACACATCACCCTATCTGACACTCTACACTTCTACTACATTCTTTACAAACTCCTCCTTCAGGACCACCCCTACTCCATTTCCCTTACTATCCTCACCATGATATAGGCAGGACGATGGCTCAGTGGTTAGCACTGTTTCCTCACAGCAAAAAGGTCCTGGGTTCAATCCTTGGTTAGACCTGAGGTCTTTCTGTGTGGAGTTTGCATGTTCTTTTCGTGCTTGCACGGGTTTTCTCCAGTTTCCTCCCATAGTCCAAAAACATGCATGTTCGGCTGCCTTCATGTCCAGGCCTCCCTTGCAAAAGAGATTTGTGATCTCAATGGGATTTGCCTGGTTAAATAAAGGTTAATAAAAATAAATGGTAAAACAGTTTGAACCCTGCTCCAATGCTGCAAGCCTTGCTGCCCTTCCACTTGGTCTCTTGGATGCATAAAACATCTACCTTCCTTCTCTGCATCATGTCTGCCAGCTCTCTACCGTTGCCTGTCCATGTCCCTACATTTACAGTTTCCACCCTCAGTCCTACATTCTTGACTTTCCTCTTTGTCTCCTGACATGTTTCTGTCCTCGTGGTCTTTGCCCAGAGGTGTGTAAAGCAGAAATCACTGAGTTATACTCTTGTGCGGGATGGCCTGCTCTGGCAACTAAAAGGAAGTCATTGGCCTTTTTTATTATACAAGGAAATATTTGGACCACTACCTTCGTGCATAAGTACCGTAATCTAATTGTACAGAAAAGTTGTTCCGTACTTTTTCCATTTATGTGACTTTTTGTTGCATTCAGTTTTATTTGCTTGTACTGAAATGGGTGAAAAGGCTTTTGTTGATGCTCAACCTTTAACATGTTACAGAATTACTGGAAATTAAGACTTACCATCTCTGAGAGCTTTTAAATTGATACTGAGACTTGTGCTTAATTCAATTACATGTACATGTTATTCTTAGTTTGTAATACTGTATAGTAATATATTACGTATTTCACGTTTTTTTCATTTCCGTTTTCTAATTTAATGTGCAACTTTTTACGTTGATTGTTCTTGTTGCTGCCCATCTTGGCCAGGAGTCCCTTGAAAAAGAGGTTTTTAATCTCCCTGGGATGTTTTCCTGCTAAAATAAAAGTTTAATAATAATAGTTCTCTAGATCTCCTGGTCTAAACTCGGACCTGATGCCTGTCCCGATCTCCACAGATCACACCAGACCTGAGAAGCAGAGCTCAATAAAAAAAAAAAAAAACTTTACAAAAATAAATAAATTTACAAATACATATATATATATATATATATATATATATATATATATAGAGAGAGAGAGAGAGGCTATGAATGTAAGCCAATAGCATATCTAACAGACTCGAGACACGCCCACAATAGTTCGCTATTAGTGGAATAGTGCCAACAACTAATTTTTTTAAATTAACCCGTAACAAATCCTACCTCATTATAAGTATCCTAATATTAACTAATCCTATAAAAATCTTTTAAACCTGTAACAAATCCTGACTTCAGATCAGTTTTCAGACATTTTTTTTATTTATTTGAAAACCAAGTTTCAGATCGAAGAGTTTTATATATAAACACAAAGTAAAACTTTATTTAAAGTGTGTTGCGGAACAAAGATGGGGTTCTTCTGGTCCAGCACGGCCTCATTTCTTCTTCCTGAACCTGCAGAGCAGCAGAACTTCAGACATTTTTATCTCAGGTGAACAATAACAAACAAGATGGGCGGGACTCACCTGGAACCACCTGAGGACTTCCTGTTCAATCCCAGACGCTTCCTGTCTGCAAAGGACGGCCTGAAGGCAGGTGAGAGACAGACAGGTGAGAGACAGACAGGTGAGAGACAAAACAGGTGAGAGACAGACAGGTGAGACAAAACAGGTGAGAGACGGACAGGAGAGAGACAAAACAGGTGAGAGACAGAAAGGTGAGAGACAAAACAGGTGAGAGACGGACAGGTGAGAGACAGAAAAGTGAGAGACAGACAGGTGAGACAGACGGGTGAGACAGACAGGTGAGAGACAGATGGGTGAGACAAACAGGTGAGAGACAGACGGGTGAGACAGACAGGTGAGAGACAAACAG